TCTAGCGTTGTTGACGGCCAAGGGCCCGGGTGGACTTCATCGGTTGGACACTCCTCCACCGGGTGCGAGTTTATAGTTGCAGCATGATAGGCTGGGCGTTGCTCATCCTCGCTCGGTTCTAGCTTAGGCTTCGTAGCATCCTTTATTGCACCCAAAAAAAAAAATATTTAAAAAAGTGATTGTGTAATTCATTAATGGATCCAATATTCAGACACCTAAAAAAGTAATTGTGTAATTCATTTTTTGTAATAAATGTAATGGATACAATAATTGAGACAATGAGAGAAACTCTAAAGTCTATAAGCTAAAAAGTGATGGTTGCCACCAATGGTTGGTAGGATAAAAGTTATTTTGGATTTAATTAAATTTATTAGGTAAAATGAGTTAATTTTGAAAAAAATTGATTGAGTTTGGTTTGAGTAAGATTTTGAATTTGTATTTATAACATATAATATGTACGGTTTTGCTATGAAGCCAACAGTTGGCTCCATAGTGGAGCCAACCTTCTATATACAACAAGTAAACCTACCATATTATCTGATTACTTAAATAATGTAATGATAACTATCATGTAAGTGTGTGATTGGTTAGACGTTACAGGGGCTGTAAGACGCCGAAAAACCATCTAGGAGCATCGATACGCGCTGCAAACGAAGTTTCAGATCTCTTTCTGGCGCCTAGGTCAACACAAGTCGTGTGACGTTGGACACGACTCGTGTCGAGCGAACTGGTACGAAATGAGCTCTTGACTTTGTCACACAACTCGTATGACATTTCCACACGAGTCGTGTGGATTTGGGCGTGTCTTACACCCGTCTTACGCGTTTCTCCTATTTTACTATATTTTCGACTTATTTCGACTAAGACTCGACCTCAACTATTTAAGAGACACTAGGGCACGTTTTTTAGGGAGTCGAGGAGAGCTTTTCAGACTTTTGGAGGCAAGAAACATGAACAAGACGAGCTACAAAGCCGGGAAGAAGAGACGGAGTCGAATAAGTTTTTTTTTTTTTCTTTTCGCTTTTCAAACTCAATGTTTTATTTTTATTTTTATTTTTTTTTAGAAGCATGTTTCTAGGCTAATTTTATCTTAGATTCTAGGATTTGTTATTACTCGAATTGATCTAGTCTTTATTGCTTTTATTCCGGTTTATCTTTAATTTGTTTATAAAATTATCGTGCTCATTTTTATTGTATGAGTATACGACCATTATGAATGCATATTTGTAATCGATTTGAGACCGAGAGGAGATAAATGATTGTTCAAATTTAAACCCTAAAACAAAAAAACTAGAAACTGAAAAAACCCTTCTCCCTCAGCGGCGATTTTTTCCTCCCAAACCCTTCTCCCTCAGCGCTTGATCGGCCATTCTTGGCCTCCTCCGGCGGCGGCGGGGCCGGATTGGCGGTTGTCGCTGGCCGCCCGTCCCTCTCAGGCGATTTTCCCCCTGATTTTGTTGTCGCTTCTAATCCTCTTCTCTCTCCCGGTCGCAGGCGATGGTGGAGTTGTTGGTGGCTTTTGGTCGCAGGCGAGCGGCGATGTGGTGGGGCTTGGCTGGGTGTCCGTCGCTACCTCCCTTGGTTGGTGATCGGACCCCTGTTGGGTCAGTCGGGGGTCGGTGGGGCAGTTTGGGTTTGGTTGATTTGGTTGGCTGGGCTCGATTGAACTCAATTGGGCGAACCGTGGTATGTCGACGGTCTGGGCTTTGTGGATTTGGTCTGTGGTCTGTGGCTGGGGTGGAGATTTGGGGTTTTGTGGTTCAGGGTTCGGCTTGGTTCAGGGGAGAGGGAGATTGTTGGACAGTGGCGATGGATCAGTGGGGCTGTGTTGCTTGGTGATCGGATTGGGGCTTCAGCAACTGTCGCGTGCTGTGCGTGGCGGCTGCCGGGGTTGGGATGCGAGTATGGAGCGACTATCCCTTTCTTTCTCGGTTTGGATAGTAAGGGATCTGGGTACCCTGGGCTTAGCTAGTGGTGTTAGCTGGGTCTGGGTTGTTCCGGTTGGGGTTGCTGTTCTCGTTCTCTCTCGGTCGGTGGGTTCTGGCTCTTCGGTGAGGTTCGGGGGCGGGGACCGGACTCTTGTATAGGCCTTATGCAGTTTCGGGAGTTGGGTTTTGGCTAGGGGCCTGACCGGGAGTCGGAGTTGCTGCTTTTTCAGTTTGCCTTCTTCGGGGGAGGGTTGTTAGTAGTTTAGTTTGTTTAGTGTCCTTGAGTCTGTTTAGTTTAGTTTTTTTGGTCTGGGCTCTTTGCCTGAGTCTGTCTGTGCTTTTTGGTCTTGTTTTTTAGGTTTGGGCCGTTGGCCCCGGTACTGGTTCTGATTCCCCTGTGGGGGGCGTTTCTATTCTCCTGTGGGGAGCGATCTTAGTTGGTGTTTTTGTGTCTGTTAGTTGTGTGTCTGTTTTTCTATTCTAGCGTTGCTAGCGAGGTTCTAGGCGGACTTTTGTTCTGTTCTCTCAGTTCCTAGTTCGGGGTTGTAATATTCAGCCTTGGGCTGCTTTTGCACAGTTGTGCGCTTTGATTTATAATATCTCTATCGTTTTGGCAAAAAAAAATTTAGAAATTTATAACGTAAGAGAATAAAAAAACCGAGAGGTTGATATGATCTTACAAAAGAACGAAAATACTAGGAATTTATGGAGTTACATGTTCATCTTGAGAATGAGAGAAGATAAATAGCAATTAATCTACGATTTAACATGTTTGAGAAAAATGTTAAATTAATTTAGCGATTACCTCTATGATTGGTAAAATTAAATTAGGTTTGATTCAATATAAACATTTTATGAATTAACTATGAGGAACGCTTATCCTAGAATCTACTTTTCGTATCTTCTCTATTCTATAATTTAGATCAAGTCTTTATTTCTTAGATAAATTAGTTTTTAAATTATTCTTAGTTTATAGTTATCATTCAATTCATTAGTCTAGATAATATTTAGTCGTCATTATTTTAATATTTAATTATTTAACTACAATCTCTATGGCTCCGATATTGCTCGCCACTACTGTTGTAAATATTTTTAACCGGAGTAGAACCCAAAGATTCGACACCGGGTCGTGTCACAAGGAAGGTTAGCCGGATTATTTTGCACGGTTATTCAACACACGAAATGAGAAAAGAAGTCCTAAACACTCTAATTCAAGATTGATAGTTTGATTTAACGACTACTAATAGTAAAACAAGTGATTATAAAAGCAAAACAATGAATTCTAAACTTATCAATTAAAACACAAATTCCAATAGTTTAAAGGGACTAGGGTATCGGGGACAATCGTATCCGGTTCTCAATACATTAAACGGGCAATCAATTACTCAGCTAATGAACAAACAATAACCTATTCATCTAGAAATTCATTCTCAATATCTCACGAAACAAGAGAATAAACATAAACGAGCAATTATCGAATTCATTAGCACATAGACAATACGTTACCGAACAAGTCTATTCTAAACAAGCCGAGGTCGATCGATTTCTCCCCTTTCGGTTCTAAAATCAATTAAGTAGATTAAATGATGATCAGACATTCAACCCTAGGTTAAGCTTAACTCATCTAGATCGAGCAATCAACATTCACATCAACGAAATCGAACCGGAACAATTATCCCCTAACCCTAGTTATTGAATTTAGCTACTCATAATCGATTCAACATCAACACATTCATTAACCCAAGCAAACATCATCATATCAAATAAGAAAAGAAATGCTTACGATTAACTTGAATCCAATGTCGAACAAACACAAGCAATCCAAAATCCAAAAGCTAGAAAAGGAGTTCTTCAATCCAAAAGCTAAACTCAAGATGAAAAGTGCAAGAGAGAAATGTTCTAAGGTGAAAAGTATGTCAAAAACAATTCAGAACGCCCCCAAAAATTGACCTAAGCTCGAGCAATAACCTTCCAAAATTCGAAATCACGAAAATCGCGCAGCTGTTACAAAACAGACCTTAGCGGCGCTAAGGGTTCTTAGCGCCGCTAAGCCACCTTAGCGGCGCTAAGGCACCTTAGCGCCGCTAAGCCTTGTTAGCTGCTCCTCTCTGGCCTCGCTAAGAAATAAACCGCCGCTAACAAACTGACCTTAGCGGCGCTAAGGTTTCTTAGCGGCGCTAAGGGCTGGACAGCATCAAAAACTTCACATTACGGGCCTGTAAGCTCGGCTAGCGTCTCTCGGGTACTGCCCGGGCAGGAAACTCGATTCTCGTAAGTATGGGTCCATAGAATGATGCTCGAACAGTGTACTTCCCTCTTCGACTGAATGCTCGCCAATTTGGACAACCTAGAACCTGAAATCGCACCACCGGACAAACACGAAAAACCAAAGAAAATAGGAAGGAAAACAAAGAAAACACTAAACACACCAAAATAAAGATGAAAGCATAAGAAATGACAAAGAGGACCGAAAATACCTAAGAAAAGACCTAAAACGGGGGAAACGACACACAGGAAATCAACGAAACTAGCAACAAAAACGGGACAAACAACTACCTATAGCTACGTCGTACACTTGCAGATAACGAAAATAATTAACGAACAAGATTTTGGCACGTGGGGATTGTTTGTTGAATTAATTAATATTAAGTGAAGACTGAGTAAATATTAGTTTATACATTTTTTTTTCTTGGACTCATTTATTTGTTATTTTCTTTATCGTGTGTTTATATTAGTTTAAACATTTTTTTTTTCTTAGACTCGTTTATTTGTTCTTTTCTTTATCATGTGTTTTTGGCCTTTATCGTGTGTTTTTGGTCGTGCATAATCACAAGATCAAGTGGGGACACAGCCGCACTGTTTAATCCCGAGATTGAAGCCACTTGCCGAAAAAATAACGTGAGTAGGAGAGCGGAGACCAAAACAAAAACAACTATAAGAAATAATTGTAAAGTACTATTTTTCTAGGTGTAATTTAGAATATACCCCTAACTTAAAACCACACTTATATACCACTTGCTCACATAGGCAAACAAAAGCAAAGCACGAAACACCCGAGACAAGAAAATAAAACTAAGTACCCACCACACGATGACCGTTCCTTGTGAATGACTTAGCACAACACACAAAACCCAGAAAACCCACGGCATTCAACCCACAAAGCAACCAATAGAAATAGTCCAAATGCGCCCGGTTCGTGTTATCCGCGAACCACCCGACCCGCCCCTCTTTGCTCGTCGCCCTCTGAATCACGCAAATCAAGAAACTGCTCAAGAAGCTCCCGATCCCGATTATGCTCAAATAAACCGACAAGCCCACGGCTTTCAACCCGCACGGCGCCTCATCGTAAAACACCTCTTGAAGCCCCACCAAAGCAAACACGTCCGCCACACCATACACCACGTATTGAGGTAGGAGCCACCAGAAGCTCATCGGGACCCGCGCGCTCGGGAGATCGGACAATCCGTGAAGCGAAGCAATTTCGAGCCGCCTGTGCTCGACGAGGGCGGCCGTGGCCGCGGACACGGTGCATAGGAACATGCCGGTGCCGATTCTTTGGAGGGGCGTGAGGCCGGAGGGCGTTTTGGTAATTAGACGGGCGAGGGGGACGATGACTCGGTCGTAGATCGGGATGGAGAGTATGATGGTGAGGCCGACGGTGTATTGGAGGGAGGCCGCGGGTAGGTCGAGGTTCGGGCCGAGGGCCCGATCCATGGTGATGGCTTGTTTGGTGTAGAGGGTGGAGGGTTGGGCCATGACGAGGGCGAAAGGGAGGGACGTGGCCCACAAGGCGAGGAGTTTGGAGAGTGGTCGGGCTTCCTCAGTGTCTTGGGTGGGGTTGTGGTCCGAGGATATGTTCGTAGTTAGTAATGCCTTGTTGAGAAACCTATGAACCGAAAGACAATTATTATTACGACATACGCTTTGAAAGAAAATGCATAATTTTTCACAATTTGAACTAGAATACGGACTTTTTTAAGTTATGTTACGACAAAACGTTCCTATTGAAGTAATTAGCTTTGTTTTCAAGAAGGGTGAAGACGAAAGACAAAAAATATCTCGTTAAAAAACAAATCAAAATTTTGCGAGATAAAAATATGTCGGTTTTTATACGTATCATGTGGAAATTATCAATTTTTCTCCCATGAAGAGGTTACTTGAATCTACAATCTACGTCCATATAAGCCATATAAGCAGAGATTAGCGTGGAAATCAACTTCCTTTAACATCTAATATCACAAGAGTTGGTTAAATCTACAATGTATGTCCATGTAAGTATAGATAAGTGTTCTTATTCATCAAACTTCTCAAATAGTTTTGGATGATAATCAAGGTCTATTTTTACATTTTTTTTTTCAACATGATGATTAGGACAAATTGGACCTTTTGCAGGGAACTTTTTTGGTACAATCATGATTAAAATAAAATAGCCATTGGACTAAAATTGAAATTGAAATTGCAATCTATATATATATAAAGAATTACCATTTTTTAAAAATGGCAAGTCAAACTGTAGTCAAATATGGTTGAGCATTAATTGCATGCTATTAATAGCAAGTTTTTATTTTATTTTTTTATTTACACATATGCATCAATAGTTGTTGCATTTAAATGTGGAGTTTGTTAAATGAAGTTTGTTTCTTATTTTTGTTCAAGATTAGGCTGTTCCTTTTTCATTTTCACAAACTTTTTAAAAAAAAAAAACTTTCTTTAACATATAATTGTGTACCACATTGCAAATTTTATTTTATTAAAAATATAAATTACGCCTAACTTAATAATATAAACTTAAGTTAGTATTTACAAAAAATCAGAAACTCTTTTTAACATCAACTCGGCTACTACAATTGTTTTAATCGGATACTTTTATTTTTAAATAAAATAAAATAATGTTCATTTAATAATTAAAATATACAATATTTTTATTCTATTCTTTTTATATTTTTTTTATATATAAAAATAACACAAAACTAATCTAATTATGAAATCGTCAATATTTTATTTGCGCAAGAACGGGTTGTAACATTTTCATTTTCACAAATTAAAGAATTTTTTTAACAGAAAGAAGATTACCAAATTGCATTATTTTTTTTATATAAAGAAATTACGACTGAAGCCTTTTGAACATCATTTTTATTGTGAAATTCAAAATCCTTTCGATCATTGAATATAATTTGGTTCCATTAAATTCTAGAAATTTTGATCATTGAATATAACTTGAAATTCAAAATCCTTTCTCATTTTTTATTTAAAAAATTCGATTGTGTTTTTTTATTCCAAACAATCAGATTGCCGAAAAAAAATTACCTTCTTGAATTGAAAATTTGAAATTCAAAATCACTTCTCATTTCAGTTGCTATAAAATTGGGCTTAGTTCAAAATCTCTTCTTAATATAAAGGATTTTGTTCAAATTGAACAGAAAAATCTAATCACATGCTTCTATCCTTGGACGAATAACCTTAATGAAGGATTATGTGTCACTTTAAAAATTAACAAACCTCTTGGAAATTACAAAATCATAATGAATTTCAAAATTTTTGGTTTCATTTTGCACGAAATTCAAAATGGTTTAAGAATTTCAAATCAATTGAAATTCATCCCTTTAATTTTTTTTCCATAAGTTTAAAAAATTTACAACATTTAAGTCAAATTACAAATGTATTGTTTCAAAAATCAAGAGGATAATTTTGAAAATAGACTCTTTTTTTTTTTAAATCGTCTTAATCTTCATTTAATCTATATATATATAAAGAGGGAGTTGATGGAATTTATTGCTAAATATAGATGATATACAATGACTATATTTGGCAACATTTCTACAGTTGGTTGGGTAATTAATTGTAAGGTTAATTATTTTTGTTAAGAGTGCCAAATAATAATGGGAAATGCATTAACATACTAAATTCATATTCAATTATTTTTGGTTAATTTTAAGAATGGAAAATAACAATGGCAACTTACTTAAATTATTCCGTTTGGAAATTTTAAAAGAATTAATATTCTTTTACTCGATATTTAAAAATATATAACATCAACTACGCTCAACTATATTCTAATATACCTTAAATATATTTAATATTTTGAACTCTACATATCATTACTATGTTTTAAAGGCAGTAGTATTAGTTTACATAACCATACATATTAGTTCATTTTAACATTAGGCATAAATCCAAAAAACATGTTAAAAAAATATTTATTATGAATAACCTATTTAAATTAAGTTATTAGATGAATATATGATGATGGTGAATGCTGGCAAAATTTTAAAAATGATACATCACGTTAGGCGTTGACAACAAAAGAGACATTTTGTCGTCCCTCACGAAAAAGAAACATGTAGTTGATGATTTGGTCAAAAAAGATACATTAATCACCATACCTGATAAAAAAGCTGACGTGGTCGGATTAGGTAGTGATGTGGCATTATAACTTTTCTTAATTTCCTACGTGTTATATACATGACGTGATGTGGCATCATTATCTCCAAATACACAACTGCACATAGATAAAAAATATAAAAATAAAATAAAAAATCCAAAAATAAATAAATATAAAGACACATCAGCAAAATGAATAAAAAATAAAATAGAAATAATAAAAATAATAATAAAAATAGGAAAATAAAAAAATAAAAAATCCAAAAATAAAAAAATATAACAAATATATTTTGTTAACTATATATTAATAAAATATTTAAAAAAATTATATTTCTTTAATATATATTAAAAAATAGTAAAAAATAAAAAAAAATATATTTTGTTAATATTTCGTTAAATATAGATATAGTTCGCTAATATATATTAAAAATATTTGTTAATAATAAGAATTATATATAATTTATTATATTATCTAATATAATAATTTACGTAAAAATTTATTTACTTAATATATATATAAATATATTAAATATAAATATAAATCACAAAATATAAATTTATATTAAAAAAATAATATTTTAATATATTTCAAAAAATATATTTTAAAAAATATTTTTATTTATTTAAATATAAATTTATATATGTGGTTTATATTTATATTTAATATATTTATTTATATTAAATAAATAAAATATTATGTAAAGTAATATATTAGATAATATGATAAATTATATATAATTATTTTTATTAACGATTTTTTTTCTTTTTTAGTATTTTTTAATATATATTACTGAAATATATTTATATTAAATGAATTATTTTTTATTTTTCAATATATATTAACAAAATACAAATTTTTTCAATATTTTATTAATATATAGTTAACAAAATTGAACGAAATATATTTCTTATACTCTTTTTTTATTATTTTTGGGTTTTTTTTCTATTTTCTATTATTATTATTTTATTTTTTCCAAAGTGTTTTTATTATTTATTTATTTTTGGATTATTTTTATTTTTATTTATCTATGTGTA